TTATTTGGCGATTAAGCACGCCATCGTTGATTTACAATCTCGTAAAAGTCCGAACGTTAGCTCGTATAATCGCGCCATTTCGTACGAACGAGTCTCTTCTTCGAAACGATACACTTTATCGCACACGACTTTACATTATACTTAAACACATGCATAGATACATTATAGATAAATATATTACAACTATACTCTTAAGTATAATATTAAAAATTTTATCTACATTCTATTCCAATCCCCTTTTTTTCTTTACTCAAATCTTGCCATTAAAAAAATCCAAATATAATTTCATTATCATCGGTTTGAGTTATTTAATTTATTGCAGATTTATATATGAAACCTTTAAGTATAATATTAAAAAAAAAAATGTTATCTTTTCATTTAACCCTTAACTAAAATTACAAAAATTTAATTTTATTAATTTATATTATTATTGAATAGTATTTAAATAATTTTATAATTCAATTTAACCCTTTTCTAAAGTTACAAAAAATTAATTTTATTAATTTGTATTATTATTTAGTGTAATATATAAATCATAGATTATTAATTATATCAACCATGTTAACTATAATTTAAATAATTTTATATTTGAATCTAACCCTTTGCTAAAATTAACTAACAAAATAATTTTCCTAATTAACACCGTCATTCTATATATTTTCTTTATTTTATTATACTTTATAATTGCCTATATTTAGTATTTATTAAAATAATAAAATATTTATATAATTACCCTTAAAATAAAATTACCCTTATTAATTATTTAAATAAAAAAAAATAAATAAAATCAAATAAAATCTAAAATATTAATCAAACCAAATNTAATTACCCTTAAAATAAAATTACCCTTATTAATTATTTAAATAAAAAAAAATAAATAAAATCAAATAAAATCTAAAATATTAATCAAACCAAATAAATATCTACAATCTAATTACCCTTAAAATAAAATTACCCTTATTAATTATTTAAATAAAAAAAANATAAAATCTAAAATATTAATCAAACCAAATAAATATCTACAATCTAATTACCCTTAAAATAAAATTACCCTTATTAATTATTTAAATAAAAAAAATAATATAATCTAAAGTATCAATCAAACCAAATAAATATCTTCAATCTAATATAATCAAACATTTAATTCTTCAACATAAGATTAATATTATTTTTAAATAAGGAAGAAGAACGAAAAAACAAGTTTTTTTCTTTCTTCTTCCACTTCAATATAATCGATCATTATAATGAAGTCTTTCCTTGCTTTAAATTGATTCCTTTCGTAATCACTTTGATAAGGAAAATAAGAAAAAGAAAGAAAAATAGTAAGAGCAAATTCGTACGTATATTGTCGACGGAAGCAAGACCTGAAGTGTCGTTCCCTGTAAATCGCATAATATCTCGTCTCGGACAAAGAGCACAGGATTAGATTGCCAAAGTAACGGATGCACGATGCATCGGTGAATAGCTTGGTAATGTCGTTAAGTGCATCTTCGAGCGTTACTGACAAAAGCAACGAGATAAGGCTATATACCGCTAACTCGTTTTATCGAGAACGACTTGTTTTCATGGCTACGATAGACTCTCTTGATTCTCCACTTTGATTTGATAACTTTCCAACCATTTTCGATTCTACCTTAATTATATATATATATATGTATATGTACTTGTTAATGCATTCCTATGTTGCATTAGTCGCATACAACCCACTCTAAATTTTCCATTAAGGTTATAGAAAATGTTTGGCTATTTATATAACAAATGTGGGTCAAATATGACCCATTAGGATTAGCTACAAAAGTTATTTCTAAAACAAATATAAATGAACGTGTTTCAAAAGTTTGATATTGCATCTGTTAATTAAAATATTTAAATTATCAGCTGATGTCTTTACTAACATAAGTTATGATTCTGAAAAGTCAGTTATTTCAAATTAAATGGAATGTCTTGAGTGTGTGTTTTATAATTTTATTTGAGTAAATAATTGATCGTTCAATTTATGGTTGAACATATTTCCATCTTTTGAAATATTTAAAATACCAAGAAGAGAGTCATAAAGGGTGACAAATGGTGATGGTGATGGTGGTGATGTTTGGTTGTGATGATGGTGGTAGGAAAAAAGCGTTAAGTCAGATCAAGACCCCATGACGAAAACGAGAACGACGACGACGGGCCCGCATCAAAAGGGGTTAATATGCAAATCGGTATTTATCAGCCGACACTTCTAGCTTTCATTCGATGCTCTCTTATAAACTCAAACCGTTGAATTAAAAATAAAATAATAAAAAAATAAATAAATTTACAAAACAATTGCTCTTTACAACTGTATACTAAAACTTCTAAATATAAATTGGGAAATAAATTGTTGAAGTTAAAAGACAAATATTTTTCTGTCTTATTGTAACAACTATTTTGAAGTTCGATATCATTTTTAAACATTGGTAATAAAATAAATGAAAAAAAAATAATTAATAAAATATAGTTTAAAATAATTGCTGATCTTGCAAATTTTAACTTCCAATTTATGCCAATATATTTAACGAGATCGGTTACAATACAATATTCAATCTTCCATATAACAAATAACAAATTTCAATTTCAATTAGATTGATTAATAATCAATATTATCCATTAGCAAAATTAAATAGAAGAAACTAGATCTCTTATGGTATAAGAACAACCCTGAATAAACATTTGCTTATTTACTCGAGTCAATGTACGCGTGCACGTGCAAGTGAATAAGAAAGAAAACTCGAATGTTGAAAAAGAAGCAAAGGGTAACAACCAGTGTGGTAGGAAGACAAGGGAGGAGAAAAAGAAGGAAGGGAGGAAGGGAGGAGGTTAGGGTAAAACGAGAGCAACTCGACGACACTTTTTTACGTGGTACATTTGACGTTGAAAATTTTGGCCCTACGTACAAGTGGTGGTAATAACCGTATGAAAGGGTGACAATAGCGGTCGACACACCGCAGTCAATGTTCAAAGGGTATGTTGAAAAAGTGAAATAAAGAAATAAGAAAGAAAGAATGAAAAGAAAGAATGGAATAAAGAATGACGAAGAAAAGTGCAGCAATAAATATATTTTGACATGGGAGAACCAGCCTCGCGCCGAAGAGAACTTCCATGCATAATAATTGTAACGTCTCTTTCTCTCTTTCTTACGTAAGGATTCATTTGCATACGCATACGGGTCCTTCCGAGTTTTATTTGAACGAAGAATGTAAGAAAGAGAAGGATGGGGAATAAGAATAAAAAAAATAAAGATAGCAATAAGTCCTTTGTGTGTAACGAAATTACGATAGTGTCTACCGGTAGGCAAATATTATACCAACAGGCTTCTATGAAGGGGTGACGATTATGTTTTCATTTGCGACCATCAGACATATATATATAGGTGTGTATGTGTATATATATGCACATTTATATCTCTCAACGTTTTATAATAGTTAATTTAATTATAACTAATCGATAAAAGCAAATATTGTATTATATGATATTGTATAATTTATAAATCTAATTCTCACGTATTTATTTATATTTTTTGGTAATTAAAAAATTTAATGATAAAAAGAAAAATCATAGAATTCGTAATTATGCAGCTATAATATATAAATTTGTTATTTTCCTTTTAACTACAGATTTTTGTAATACAAATCCAAACAAGATTTTAAAATGTTGAATTTCTTTTTTATTGGTAATTTTTTTCTATTTTGTTTTGAAACGAGAAGGTTGAGAGAAAGAGAGAGAGAGAGAGAGAGAGAGATGATAAGATCGAGGTTCGACGAGAGTAAAGAGGGGGGAGGGGGGGTTAGTCGATACGCGTCGTAATTACATACCATAGTCGATGTGTTATGTTAAGCGAGATTTAATATTTATAACCAGCACGCGCTAGCGCGAGAAACAACATATTATGCAATTTCGTCGTTTACATGGTAACCGATGATGCGGCTAATCTCGCGGTACGTTACTCATTTATTTAACGGATATTTATGAGCACACAAGTGTATCTATCTCTCTCTCTCTCTCTTTTTCTCTCTTTATTTCTCGGCGCGGTTCTTCGTAATTTCATAAAACGTGTTCCGTGCGTGCATCGCAACGAGCTCAAAACTTCTTGTAAAGCATAAAAGGAATATTTTTTTTTTTATTTATTTATTCATATTTTTTTTCTTCTTTCATATATTCACTCTTTTTGTTGACTCCTATTATTATTTTTTTTTTTTCCTTTAACTCGATTCTTTTTCATTCTCTCATCCTCATAATATATTATTTTTATTTTTTTCTAAAAGATATATACGAGAGTACTACAAGGAGCAACGATTTAGCCGTATTATCGATTTCACGCGATCGGATAATCGCGAAAAAGTGAGTGAGAGAGAGAGAGAGAGAGAGAGAGAGAGGGAAGGAATGAACAAGCCGGTCGGAAAAGAAGGAGTCGTGAGCTTGAGTTGATTTACTGAGAACCAATCAGAAATAAATCATCGGCTCTACCTTGGACTGACGAAATAAACCATAATTATGGGTTCAATGTACTCGAATTTTGCTAATTAGATTATACTTTCCTTCTAACGACTATGAAAACCGAATCTTTCGCGAATCGTCGGACAACGAACTCGAATCTCTTTTTAATAATCGATACTTCGATCATTGCATACAACAACAACAACAAAAATACAAAATCAATCGTTATGTTCAACATAAAACCTGATTGTTAATTGATCATGAATATTTTATCTGGATCGATGAAATATTAGATAAATCTATCTACGATCTAATAAATATTTAATATGAATATGTAGAGTAAATTAAATGAATCATCGGAGATTTCAATGCACGTATTGTATTCTCGCGAGAGACTTCAATGCTGATATGAGTCATATTCGCGTAGTACTACTCAACGCGACGTTAATATAGTATCTCATCGTAAAATTTCAAAATATAAATTAATATTTCTATTTTAATGAAAATAATATAAATATTATATAAAAAAATGAAATATCACTCACCTTTATTAATGTTATCCACGCAAATTTCCGGTTAACCAGGTACCAATATCACTGAACAAATTATACGATATAATCAAAAATATCGTCTAAGTTAGCGAGAATCACAGGTTGCACTATTGTAACAATTTCATTTATAGATCCTCGTAGTATGATAAATCGAGAAGACAAAAAAATTGTTCTTTGGAGGAGAAATGATAAATCATTCGTCTATGTTTTTTAAGAAAGAGAAAAAAAACCTTTTCTTCAAGCACGTGGTCAGTCGACATCAACTATGTAACTGGTAATACTTTTTACTCTTCTTCTTCTTTTTTAACGATGACCTTGAATTACACCAGAAGTCTTTTTTTATTCAGTGGTAGCTAACGTGTAACAACCGATCTTGATGTATCTTTCCGAACGTAATGCAACACGAAACTAAAAAAAAGAAAGAAAGGGTTAAAAAACGAAACTAAATTTTCAATGTTTACTCGCGACTGTCCCGGTCACGTGTGCTTCTTCTGTCTCTCTCGCACATACACACACTCTCTCACTCACTCACTCACTATATATATATCTCTCTCTTTTTCTCTTATTTTTTTTCTCTGAAGTCTCTCTTGCGAATTATTTATATATTTCACTATAAATAATTAGAAATGTTCTTATCCATTTGCGTACAATTTGTGACAACAAATTTTGATCTATAACTCAGTCCTTTATTTTTCTTCTTTCTTTCTACCTCTGTCCAATATTATTCAGTTTGTGTATCGTCTCAGTAACAATAATTTGTCTCTCTCAAACCTCCACGAGACTCGGTGTGACCACGTCGATGGACGGGAGAGAACTGCCGCTTCACGATCGTTGCGATCTGTTCGACTGCATCGAAGGTGCCTGAGAAGAGAATTGTGGCTAGTCAGCATTACCGATTTCTCCCTACTCTTTGAGTATTCACCTGTTCCTGCCCATCGGTTCACGCCTATCTCAGCACCAACCAATAAGCAAAACTTGGGTCCGATGGTTTGTCCAATCATAGCTCGGCCGGTCCCACGAGTTCGACCAATCTGGTAACACCCATTCGTTCCCCCCTTCTCCACTGTTTTGGGACTGTTTGCCGTCCCTCCAGTAAGATTTTCTAACATCTCTCTTTCTCAACACTTTTGTTAAACTCTTTTCTATTTTTCTATCTTTTTATTATAATATTTCTTTTTAATTTGAATCTTAGATTCAAGAATGTTTGAAATTGATTTGATATTTATTTTTTTTTTTATATATCTTTCACGATTTAATTACTTTTCAGTTCAAGTCGTATTCAACAGGTGTTTATTATATATAAGTATACTTTTACTTGTGTTTTATTCATTTTACGTGATATGTAAAAAGTTGTTGCTCTTTTACGGTCATAGTTATCTTATAACGTATAATACTACTTAAATATATATATATATATGGAAGGGAACAATTCTTGGATGGATTGAGACAGTAATAAAGTTTCGATAAGAAGTATCCTTTTATGCTGCACTCGCGGTATTTCCGTGTAATTTAGCATTTATTGGTATATTACGGTCAACGTGCGATTATTCCAAGACTAGGATTGCTGACTACTCTTGTGCTGTTACGATATAATCTCAAGAAAGAAGAATAATAATAATAATAAGATGAAGAAGAAGAAGAAGCGTGCCGCGTTAAAAGGAACTTTTTTTTCTATGTTCCCTTTTATCCGTTCCTTTCCGGCCCTCTTGTCCCCCTTCCGTCGCTTATAAGTTACTCCTATCAAACTATGAAAACGTTAGATGGGAAACTCGTAGGTGTACTATGACCGGTAAGACTATCTCTCTTTCTCTCTCTTTCTTTTTGATTCTTTCTCGTTCTAATCACGCAAGAAGTAACTGTACAATTTACATCCTGGAATACACGTTGCTTGACTACCAGATTTTACGACTCGACCGATCGTATTTTTCCTCATACTGACAAGTTATCGCATTAATTGCTCGTGTGCTAATCTCGTTTACAGATTCGTATCGAAATAAATAAGAAATTCTCGTTGACGAATCTATATTATGAACAAAAAAAAAAGATTCTTCAGCAGGAGAATTAACTAAAAGATAGAAATAAGAAATAGATAAAATTAAAATTGAAAAAAAAATACAAATGAGATAGAAAAATAAAAAGTACAATAATTTTGTCGTTGGGATTAACGCATTAAAAAATATTTCTTAACCTGTTTCAACAAGCATAGAAACTTCCAACTCACGAATATATATAATATACATATATATATATCGAATATAAAATTTTATATACGTTGCCCTTATTATATTCGCGTTCCTGGGAACGTTATACATAAATTTGTGTGTGGATGTAAGATAAAGAGAGAGAGAAAGAAAGAAAGAATTGAACATAACATCATCGACCATATACCACATTCTCCTTTCCGGGGCCTTTCGAAATGAATTTTTCGAAGGCAGAAGAGAATTAAGGATTCTACGGGTTATAGAAACTCGTGGACCCAATAAAATGTCGAAAGGCGCTCAAAAACGAACGGTCCAACTGAAATAGTGGGGGAGAGGGAGGAAGAAGAAGATCCAGCAGGAGGAGTAGGAGAGGGAGAAAGAAGTGGAGGAGGAGGAGGAGGAGGAGGCTGCGGAACGGCGCCATAAATTAAGCAAGATGTCCACCCGTAGAAATTAAACGATAGAAACCTGTTTCGAACGTAAAACGCTTCTGCTCTCCGTGGTCTACCTTATTCTCTTTCTCTCTTTTTATCTTCTTTTTATTCTCTTTTACTCATTCTCTTTTCTTATTCTTTCTTACATCGATTATCTTTCTCTTTCTTTCCCGTTCGTGACCTGTCCTCCGCACACGATGCTTTTTGTGACTAGCTGCTGCTACCTTGGGGCTGCTGCTCCTCTTCCTCTCAACGTTCTTTGCCAGTTCTTTGCCCATCTATATCTCTCGCTTCCTCGTTTAACGACCGATTTCATTTCACTGAGATAATGCTGCTATCCTCCTATGGTGGTATAAGAGCGCCCACAAATCCATGGAACTTCTTCTCTGACCGGATCGTATGTATTTTTAATGGATCCTACCTCCCACCCTCACATCTTTCTCTGTCTCTTTCTTTCATTCGTTTTCTTGAGTTTTGTTTGTATATCCTTTTTCTATACTTTTTTTTTGTTTCATCTATCTCTTTTTCTTATTCTTCCTTTTTTTTCACGAAACGGAGACATCCGTTTTCGTAGGGCGATCTTCTTACCCCCGGGGAGAACGAAATCAGATCCGCGAGTTTTAAAAGAGATTCCACGGTTTGTAATATAATGCGTGCTTTCGTCGAAAAACGTTTTAAAAACAAATCGGAGTTGAGTTTTACGAGCGTACAAGAAAGAGAAAGAGGAGGAGGGGAAAGGGTGGACAGTGTTGTGTCTTACGATCTTAGGCCAGTTTTAGGTTAGTCAGATACCAAAGAAATTATTCTTCAGATATTCTAATCAAGATCAATAAAATTAAATGTAAAATTAATACGTCATCTGATTTATTTTTTTAATTGTATTTAAATAAATTAATTCAATTGTTTATTGAACAGTTTCCGTTTGATTAAAACTATTCGTAAGCTTATACGAAAAACAGGAAGTCAAAAAGACATACAATCCCATGAATATTCCCATTATTTTCGAGAAAAATGAATAGTAACGTTTAAATGAAATTATTATTCCTTACTTTATGTGTTACCATAAAAAAAAAAGAAAAACTTGAATTCACACACGTAAAATGAGAACGATGAAATGTGTAAAGAAAGAAAAAAAGCCTAAACACGGCACATTCTCATTAAATTCCATCATCTTCAAAAAAAAAATAATAATAATTAATAATTATCGGTAAATATAATCAATTAGCATATTGGGTAGAAACAAGATAGGTGTCAATTAATAAGAAAGTAGAATGACAGTGTAGTTAAATCGAAGTAACTCTTAGCCGTCGCTATCAATTCTCTCAGCACTTTCGTACCCAAGCCTTAATGCCTATTGCGTTTTAACGGCTTTTATCGTATTCGACTGACAAGATAACGTCAGCATCTAAACGGCGGGTCGAGAACTATCTCGCTAGAGTTATCTTGGAATATTAATACCGACATTCTCGCACGTGAGAGAGAAAGAAATAGAAAATACACGAAACAGATTCAAGCAAGCTTTGTTGAAATCGATACCTTCGAGAATAAAGTACTACACTCGTAGAAAAGGTAAAAAGGTAAAAGGTTGAGCTTCTTCTACACTTGCAACGATACCAAAAGAAGTGGTGAAGGTGTAGGAGGTGTTTGTGATGGTTGTTCTTTTGTAGTGGGGGATATGAATTATTTTCAAACGATATTCAAGTAGCACTGACCGATAACTTTAACGATTCATGGTGTCGTACGTTGATAACGTTTGCGCTCAAGTTGCTGAGAAAAGGATAGATCGTGTCTAGTTCTTAGATCGTGAATTTTAATATATTATTATCGAGGTTTTGTTTATTCTACCAGAAAATATGGGATCAAACGTGCTAGCTGATGAAACCTATCGAATATCACTGGACAACTTGTAAATCCTTTCAAAAATTTCCTTAGAAAAGTTTTCACATATTTGGTGTGTGTGCAATTGTGTAAAAACACAATGTGGTGCACAAGTGGGTGTGTATCTATTTTTGGTGAAAGAAATGAAAGGCGGTACGGAAAACGATCTCGATTTCCAAAAAGAAAGAAAAGAAAGGAAATACTCTTTACCTTTGTAAAAAAATAAGCTGTTTTTGAAAAGGATAAAGAAGTGTGCCCGACGGTCTAGTTTGAAAACGACTTATATAGATTAACAAGAAAATTCCAATAGATACATGTATATATAGAAATGAAAGATATAAAGCAAAGAAAAATATATAAAAATACATTTTAACGAGTTCTAATAGGATCATCAGAGGGTATTGGGTCAGTTGGTAGGATTATCTCAGTCAAAACGTCGGTAAGGTTTACTCGAATTCATAACACCACGAGAAAAAAGGATCTCCTTTATTTTTTTTTTTTTTTTTTTAAGAAAATAGGTCAATGCTAGCCGACCCTTTGATCATCGAGCTACAATATACACTGTGTGCATTATAAACGGTGATGGGTCGTTTTAGAAACCAACCGGACAACTACTACCGCTTGAATGGTCGATTTGAGTGGCCAGCGGACTCGACCTGTGACCAAAGGATGTTTGCCCACAAAACGGATCGGTTCCCCCTCCGTTAAGAACGCTTCTGCTGTTGCTGCTACTTTTGATGCTGATGCTGATGTTATTGTTGCTGTTTCTGTTGCTTGCCTAGCACGAAGAGTAGCCGATTGATAAATGAATCTTCTTCTTCTTATATTTCTATCTTGCTTTCTCTACCACCATGCTTTTTCTCTTTCTCTCTCGTTAAAGTTCAGTTAGTCAGAGACTGGCAAAACGTTTGCTCTACCCAACGAGCTCATTCGCCACGGTCTGATCATTAGGACATTTTTGCGTGGCACGTATTTGTCTTGATTTCACGATGATTAATCGCCAGACCAGAATCAGAACTTAATGGAATGACGCGTAACGCTCATTGACGAAATAAGTTGTTACACTTTAGAGAGATATCTTATTATTATTATTATTTTTCTTATTTGTTTTTTCAAGCCGGAAATAAGTATTGCAAGGTATACATGTATATATGTGCATACTCATACTTATGTATGTATATATCTTGATGAGTTATCGTGTACTTCGAAGCAACGTGTTCTCAGCTGACAACTGCAATTTAATAACGTCCTTATGGTAATCGATTAGGCTAGGACGAAGCGTCAGCGAGACACTCTTTCTCTCTCTCACACTCTTACAAACATACAAA